TAAAACGTTGCCATATATTGCCATATTGAGACAAGTGTACAGCATGATGTGAAATTGGCATTTTGTGAAATAGAAATCAGTTTATCACAGTAGAAGATCAGCTCCATCTATTGCTCATAATCTCCTAATTTGTTTAGATAATACCATAACCATGTTAGATGCCCATTTAGAGGTCAGCAGGGAAAATTGAGTAGGAAATTGACGTCCCGCATAACTCTGTTAAGCATTTCATGTGGTAGACAGTCCAGAGATTTGAGAATAGTGGGAGTATAGTTCTATTAGATTATTTGTAGTCTTTTAAGGGAAATAATTTAGTTGAACAAGTATTCTTCAGAGTGCCATGTGCTGCATACAGTCCGTGGCTCTTTCCTGTGGAATGCAACACCTGGTACCATGAATTCTTGGCGACATTTTGGCCATCCATGTACCAGGGCAGTCATAATTTTAAAACTGTTGTAAAAAACATGGATGTTTAATTTTGTGCATACTGTTTCTTTTTGTACCTTTTCCGGTCTCGCATTAATTTCCATAATGGTCGCGGTATTCCGTTTGCTTTAAATAAGAGAATATATGGTCGGTCTGTGTGTGTGTGTGTGTGTGTATGTGTGAGTAGACAGACTTTCTATTTGGTTGGGTGTTAGCCTGTTGACAGCTGCCTGACATAGCGCCGCAGAAGGAAAGAGGGCTGTCTCGAGGCTATGACACTTAATGACATGTGTGGTATGGAAAAAACGGTGAATGGTGGTTAAACATAGGAAAGCTTATTTAGAAAATTGCCCCTCTTAGCATAAAATACACACAGAGATGACCTGCTACTTGGTATTCACTTAGCTTGAGGAGGATTTCATTTGAAGTCAAAACTGCACCTATCTGTTGTATTGGCAACGTTGGAAGTATTTACATGTTTTAGTACTTAGTGGTTTGGAGGACTTTGTGGAGTCTACTGGTATCGCGGAAATCAGAGTCACCCCTGGGATTTGTTGTTAGTACATCAACCCAACAGATTGGAGAAAATTTGCAGTTTTCATTGAGAATGCTGTACTCTTGGAAGTACCCAACAGAGCAAAAGACGTGACTAGGAGGGAGATTTGAAAAGTTCCATTTACCAAGAATTTCACTTAGTAAAGAAAACTGATTGGTTGGAAATCAGTTTTTCTGCTGTTGTAGCTGTCCTTCTCTGATATCTTGACTGAAGCTGTCTCTTTCTCAGTCCGATGAGTATATCAATACTTACATTCTTGTTTTGCTTATTGGTCCTGATGCACTCTGCTGTGTCTATCATAGATGAACGATGCTTCTTTATAGGATTCTTACTACGTGAGTATTGAGTCATTAATTATTATCTCATTAGTATATTAGTTAAGTATATCCAAAAAAGAAAAGAAAGAGTCATAACTAGTAAAGCAGCCAGAGAAGGCACCTCAACAAAGGCAGCACCATTCTTATTATTGGTTAATTAATGAATCACCACCAAAATCTAACTGTTTAATACTAATTGTAATTATACCCATTATTTTCATCAACTCATGTGAATAAGTTATTTTTTTTACTGTTGTCACACAATATGTTGTGGACATACGAGTCAGCTATTGACTTTACTTAATAGGTCAATAAAAAGTTAAAATAAATGTCCTGGTGGGGGTAATTATGATTAGCATCAACTTCCTTGAAAGGAGAGATGGTTTGTGATGAATCTGTGTTTTACAAAAGTGTTCAAAAGAAGAATTTTTTAATACTTTCTTAGACCCCATTTCCAGAGATTAGATCGATCTACTTTAGATCGACCTAACTCCCTGGGGGTTCACGCTAAATAGCTGTCAGCCGAGCGGACACGAAAGTTAATTACCCCCTTACAGCTTGTAGTAGGCGGGACGGACATTTAAGCCGGATTATCTGACAGTAATCTAGTGAGACTCCCCGCGGGGATAGATCGATCTAAAAGCTCTTGGAATACAGCCTTAGAAACTTTCATTTCCAAACACTTCTTCGGCTTCTTTCCCTTGAGTTTGGTGGCTGAGACAAAGTTGGAAGAATGCATTAAAACTTGAAAAAATGGACCCAAGGCGTCCAATTTTAGCTATTGTCCAGTTTTATCAGGCATCCATCACAGTGTAATATGAAGTATGTTATGTTTATTGGATCATCCATTATGATTCAAATGATATTAAACCAAATGTGGCATAGAGGACACTTGACAAATTGTAATTTGTCCCTTGGCAAGTGCTTCTTAGATGTTTTATCATCTCCTAGATACGTGTTCCTACAGAGCTTTTTGGTTTAATTTTGTTCTTGTGTTCATGGGGTCTTCAATTGCATGGTCTAAAACAGTGTTAATCTGAGACCCGTGCACATCCAGAAGCTAATTTAAGAGTCATTGCATGTGACAAAATAAAACTACAGAGACTTTGATCTGAATGTAACCTTGGGGAAAATAACTTTTAGGACTTTGAGCTCATTTTTATGAGTCACGATCATGATATTTTGGGCATTGAACAAGAAAAAGTGAAAGTTGCCCAATTAGTAAAGTTGACGGCTTTTTAATGAAGGCGATTTGTGAAGTGAGTGTTACTGTAAAAGCAGTGCGACCATCTGCCGTGTGTGAGATGTACTAGGTGGGGCGTTGAACTGACCAGCTTAGGTGAACTGTGGTCACAGGTTCTCTGAGGGGAAGAATGCATGTGTTACTTATATTATTGTCTAGATACTTATCTGTATTGAATGAAATGAATAGGTTAGGCCCTGTTTTGTACCTACACATGAATACAGCTCTGCAGTTCTGATACTTGTACATACACATGTGTAGCTTCATGCTTCAATTCACTTATTATTATCGACAATTCTCATAAACCAAAATAATTAAAAGCATAAAGAAGTTTGAACTTCAAGATGTATAATTCAAATATTAAGTTATTTGCTAAAATTCTCACATCTTGTACTATAATAGATTGTTTTAGTTTTCAGGTGCTTTTATAAAAAGATATTACTTAAAGGTAACATCACTTAAAATGAAAATTATCTGCCAAAGGTTAATAATCTGCTTGTTACAATGTTGATACATTGACCTTTATATGCAGTCATATAGCTTAGAGGTGTCCAACTTTTTCTCTTCGAGGATTTAAGATAGGAAAGCACAAATCAATGCAAATCTTTGAAAATAAGATCTGTATTATTATGCTGTATTGTTGTTATTTAATCTCTTTATTGAATAATTAAATTAATGATTGAAAACCACTTTATGCAGTGGGGAATTTTCATTGAAGTATATTTTTGACATTCATCTACACAAGTTTGTGATCAGTAGATCCATTTTGTAAGAATTTTGATGCAAGGTATGATTATGATTGTTATTTACTGAATTTTGAAGTTAAACCTGCTTTTAAATGGTAATTTTGTTTATGGATGAGAAGGTTTCAAAGATTGTCATCAAATTATCACTTCACAGTAACATTAACGAAAGATGCTGCGGTTAAGAAAGTATTTCTGTAGACACTCAGCATTCAGAATTTTTTCAAAAGAGGTTTATTAGCCCAAAACCTCTAGGGATGTTTTTTTTTTTGTAGTTACTATTCTCTTGGAAGTAAAGGATACTAAGAATCACATAATGAAAAAAAATGACTTCTTGGATTGCAGTAGGATGTAAATGATCTGAAAATGTGGCATCAAATATGGTGTGTTTCTTAAAATAACATTGCATTTTTTTTTCTTTTTATTGACTGTTACTAATGTTCATTTAGAATGCAAAACTGATTTCACTTGTTTTGCATAAGTATGTGACAGGTCACTGATACATAATTTATGTGATGTTTGTTATATATATGTATGTACAGTAAAAACACTCCTGAAATAATGCACAAGAATCATAGACAGCTTTTTGAAATAAAGAAATGTTTAATGTAATGTAAAATTTACACCATGTTTTTCTTTAATTCCCTCAGATGCATGCGGCAGAAAAGCAGCAGTATACACGACAGACGCACCCTCACAGGTGGTGGCCCCTACCCAGCATCCCCCTGCCGCTTCCACCCCTGCAGATCACAAGCTCCCCTGCACACATGATGAAGTCTTCAAGGCCAAGTGTTTAAATGCTGGCCAATGTGTTGCACTACAGATATCTGCAAGCAACAGAGAAGTGACGTGTCAGTAAGTAGATGATGGGTAATTGCAAATAGCCAAATTCTTCGCAACTCGTAATAAGATTTAGGTTTTATGTTGTTGATTATCTTTTTCATGCCTGTTACTTATTCTGATCAGACATGTCATTTGCCATATCTTAGGCAAAAATTATTTATTTATTTATTTTCATTTATTTATTTATTTATTTATTTATTTATTTATTTATTTATTTATTTATTTGCAATTTTTTAGCAAGGAACAACTGTTACAGTATTCATGTTTTCCTGGGATCACTTGTCAAATTTTCCCACGTACCAAACAATTGCCACAGGCATTTTTTTCCTTTTGAAAAAAGAAACATATTTTTTCAAAATTAAGGTTGGTCACACTCAATAAAAAAAGCTAAGCACTTTTGTCTGGCTTTCAGCAACAGAATTTTTTTTTCTTTTTTTGCTTGCGGCTTGATAGAACCAAGTATTTCATTACTTTCATCTGTGATGTTGTATACCACCTTTTTTCTTTAAGTGACTCTCAACTGGATAAACCCACCAAAATGAATTTTCCTGGTGAAAAGGGCAATTTTCACCTACTCCAAATCATTGCTCTCTCTGTCCCTGCCATCGATTCTTTGTAATTTTTAATTTTTAATTTTAAAATTAGTTCTAAATGACTGACCAGTTGTCATTCCTTGATCTTCACTGGGCATGACCTTGTTTTCATAAGGTAAGGAAATGGTGTGGAGTTTTCTATCACAACCCTGTGTTGTGTATGATGCAGACTTTGCAAACCATCATGGCTATCTCAGAAAGCAGAGACGACAATAACAAAAATAGTCACGCTTCAGAAAAGCTTTTATTTTTAGGATTTTATCATCTAAAAGGTCTACAATGGAAAATAAGAGAAGCTTTGCAGGATATAAATATGACTAGGGGGATTCAAATGTGTGGAGGGTCGCTGGTGAACCATATTTATGTAACATTAAATGCCATTTTCAAATTGCGATTTCAAATCTGTGTGTCTAGATTAGCAAATCTTTTCAGTTTTTGTTCTCTGATGTTGCTTTCTCTGATGACTCCTCTTGTTAACTACCTTCAGAAATATTTTTGTCAATAATATATCTTTGATTTGCTTCCTTTAAGAACTTTTTAAAGAACTATCCTGTATTAATATTCTTCACATTTGTGTGATGTAGTCTCTCTTCTGCCATCTAAAATGTGATTTCTGAATTAAATATCATGTCTGAAAATATAGTCTGAGAAACACAACACCAGTATTAGGGCCTCACTTCTCTCAACATTCCGCTGTTTTCTCAACGCATCTCATTTCTCTTCATCAGGTCATCTGCTCTTTATCAGTTAAATAAAAAGAAATGTAATAGTGAGTGTGAGAGAGAGAGAAAGAGCCCACACACGTTTTTCTCTTAATTCATTCCTTTGACATTTTCTCACATAACCACCATTGACTGTAAATGTCACAGTGAGGTTGAGCAAGGCAGCTGGGAATGCTTGCATAAGAATGCGACAAATTATAGGCTAGGTTTCAAATACAGCATTGGTTGTGTATATCTTTTGCTATTTTGGCCAGGAATACTCTTGTTCTATTGGGATGGGTGAGATACAAAGAATGTGTTAGAGGAACCAAACCCACTTATTGCACTGTTTTATGACGGAAGGATATTTTCACTATCACTTACCTTAAGGTGGTTAGGTTTACCGCATTGTGAAAGAGCAAACGTTGCTGTGACAGACAGCTATCAATCATGTAAGGCGGGGGAGGCTTTTGTCACAGGGAAATGGTTTCACAGCTGTATGATATGTAGATCAGGGAAAGATCTGTGTTTTATTTAACCACACCTTGGTCGGTTAAATTGTTTGAAGGGTTAAGTAAATTAATGCAGCATGATTATTTAAGTGACCACAGAAAAGGAGACGTAAGTAGAGTAATAGATACAAATTTTACATGTACGCAGCATAGTTTGCCTCTAGAATTACTTTAAGTGGTCAATAAAACAACACAATCAACCTTTTGGTGGAAATATGTGATGTGACTATGGACACATTTTTTTCTTTGTCCTTACATTGAATTGCCATAAATTGGACAATAAACACATATGGACTTTAAATGGGAGAAGTATTTTTAAAGCATACCTCATTGGCTCTTGAAGTGAGAAAGTGGGGTAACATTTGAATGTTTTAGAGCGTGACTGAAGGGTGTTTTCACCTCTACACATGCCAACACAAGCGAAGGTTAATTCATTGCGGAGCTATTTCCCAGCAAATTGCCACTACCGGCATCCATCATATAAACCCCTGTGTAAGCTCAGTGAATTCATTCAGTCAATCACTCAGACAAGGGAATAATAGAATTAAAAGACGCACCACTAAGTTCCTGTGGCATACCGGATATAGGTGTTGCTGTGGTTACCTATAGGATTATAGTATTTGTAATTTGACAGTCTGATAATCTGGAGGTTGGATCTCAAAGCAGCATGGTGCATCAACAGGTCATGGGGCCTCTTGCCACTTTCGTATTCCTCAGTATATGCAGGTTTCACTTGGCGCAGGGGGAACTTATAACAGTAGTATTGGAAGGTATGAAAACACTTAAACTATAATTAACTTTGTGTAGAGAATGAGATATATAGCATATGTGGTCTTAGTATTTTAATAGATCAACTAAGCTCTGATGGTTTTGATATTTGAAAGTTTCAAAAAGCCAAAGTAAATGTTAAGCCACTTTTTTTTTTAATTTTTAATTTACCATAGTTACTATAATGAGAGAATCTTCAATTCGTGTAAGATATGTTAATTGACATGATCTTGTACATTAGTATGCAATTCACATGCAAAAATTTGTGTACTTGTCTACAATCATAAATAACAGTTTTTTATGTCCACAGTGTGTTGATAACTAGGATAAAAAGCTTTTACTAAGATATTTTGTTTACTTCAGTGGTGGTAACATTACAGTGTCACTCTTTAAATGGGGACTACAGCTAAGTATGAGGTTTAGAATATGAAACAATTGGTTAAGAGAAGAATCATAATATTGAAATGGTTGTTAAGGGCACATGTATTTGTTTTTGCTCAAAACTCAACGTTGATGCCCTTGTTAAAATTGCGTATTGTGAGCAGAAGTGTTAGGTTAGTGTAACTTAAATAGAAGGGTAATGGCAGGGCAATGCCTTTTAGAGAGTCTTGGTTGAATGAAATCATTTGTTAGTGAGGACTTTGACTGAATTGTGTATTTCTATTTCATTGGAAATAACTTATAAGGCACCACCGCAAATGGGTTCCCTTTGAAGTTCTCAAACTGTACAAAAAATAATTAATGAGAAAATGTAAGAAATGTGGCATAATATTGCCAAAAGAAAACATTTTGAAGAGAAGTTTTTTAATATCTTAAAGTTAATCTAACATTTAATGTAAAACTCACATTTTGAAAATAGTTAGGATCTTTTTTTCAATTAAGAAATGTGAAATGTTGCCCTTCTTTAGATATAAATGAAATTGGTAAGTTAATCCATATAGGCAGTATGGGAACTGAAGGCCAAACTATGCATATCTACAAGGGTCACCTGTGCACTAAGTTACCCCACGGCTAACTAATTACAATGTCAGTAACTTTGTAAAGAATGTGCCAATTTAAAACTCTTGATTCAAATTATGAAAGGACACTATAATAATGCATAAAATCTCACCACAACAGCTTCAAATTACCACATATAAGGTAGATATGATATTATATATTAGGCAGAGAAACTTTCACCAGCCGTTGCCACTAAGGTAGGTCCTGTGCTGAAAGTCACAGCTGTTGTGCAATAAGCTGGGACATTCTTGGTCAGCCTAACCATTAAAATAGATGGCCAAGATTGAGGATTACATTCTTGACATTATTTATACATCTGAGGTCCACCACATTAAAGCAAATTGTCACGGTTATGCATGGTTATGAAGATATTGTGTGTAAAACCCAATGTGTCTGACATAGTCTAGATAGAGAAGCCACAGACAGTGGTATGCCAGAGATGAGGTTTGGTCCACACAGCAGTATGTCTATAGATAGACTCTGTCTTCATTCTCAATGGTTATACCACGATGAACAACAGGGCAGGTAATGTTTACTGAGGATAATTTGATTTAATTTGTTAAGCAGATGCGATCATATCAAGTTTAGCTGCAGTTTAATTGACTTTTTACTTTAAAAAAAAAAAGAGGTGTATTCAGGAAATACTGATTGAGCCGATTGGCTCTAACAGGCAGCATACAGGAAATAGGTTAGAATACATTGGGTCAGTTTATGGAGCATTTAACTTGTTTAATGATGTGTAGGAGTAAAGCAAGTCTGCCTTTTCTGACAATTTTTCAAATTTATCAGACGAATTATCATAAGTAATAAAAATTAATAGATCAGCCGACCACCCATGTCCTGTAGAAGGAAACATTATTGAGTCATGAAATTATTATCGCCATAACATCAGGACAGAAGAACAAAAGACAAAAAAAGCTCATTCATATTTTTATGAGAAAAACTACTGTGTGTAATGTTGAAATGTGTACCTAGTCACATTGTGAGAGTTACGTAATGGGAAGAGGGATATTGTGTAGGCTATCTCTGGACACTCCTATTTCTTTTTAGGATTCTAAATGTCAGAGAGAAGATGAATCTGATTTGATCTTTACTTAAGACTTTGTGGAGTTATTTTAAGTGGATGAGGAAGAAGGCATTAGATAAGAAAACGGTATAATCATGAAGTGTGTCAGTGGGCTGTATAAGAGAAAGTCACTTAGGTTATAGTTCATCAAAAGTGTATGAGATTTTGAGAAGGCTTCTTCATAGGACAGCTGCAACATCATGGGAGAATTTATAGTTATTGGTAAGCAAAGGTGTTGTATGCTTGTTATGTGTAGTGGGTAACAGAAGTGAAAGATATTCAGACAGTTAATTAACAATAATAATTGGCAGCAATGAATTACTTAGGGCTTTGATGTCATTTTCAAATATTTATTATTGAACAGATTGGAGATTATTGTATATATCAAGTATTTTGGACAGGTTTATCATGTGACTATAACCAATCTTGTGGCTGATCACCATAGTGTGTAGTGGATATATATTTCATTTTTTAGGTGGGGAAATAGAATATGTTCAGCCTGAATTTATAAAGCCATGTCCTGTGCAACTTGCTACTGGGTTTTGCCTAAACCATGGAATATGCCGACAAATTATTATCTCAAATAACAACATAACCAGTTGCCAGTGAGTATTTCGCACCGCTGCTGTTGAATGGAGAGATTTCTGACAGCACAATACATGTACTTGTGATTTTTAGCAAAATGTTTGAGCATTACAAGTCATGGGGGTTGGTTCAACTGCTGTGAATATTTAACCTCTTCTTGATATGAAAAAGTCGAATTTGTTGTAACCCTTATTTTAACATCCCCTGTTTATCATTAACTTAATCTAACATGTATAAGTCATTGCTTCACTGAGTAATTGCCATTTTAGCGTTTCCATCCACTATTAACAATGATTTTGGTTTCCTTGTTCATTTATCATTTTTCTGTGATATGATGAAGAGAGCATTTCATGAAATTATTTATTAGAAATATGACATTATCAGATGGGTCACACACACATCCATTCTCATTCCACTCCACCATGATGAATGGCTCAATTATCATACATATATCTCAGAGGGAGCCTGACATCTATCTATTTCCTATTCATTCAAGTATCAATATGTTCTATAGCCATCAGGATAAAGCTTCTCTCACCTGAGTCTTAAGTGTCACTGAGGAATTGCTGGTTATGAAACTTTCACATACTTGCTTGGAGAATCTCGAAATACATTGAAGTGACATTTATTGTCCTTTGCAAGGGTTTTGTCTGAGTGACATTTATTGTCATTGTAAAGTTTTCATTATATTAATGAAAGCAGTGTTGTTCCTCGCTTTGGATTTATTGTGATAATACCAACTGGATATCTCCACATCTCAGCTGTGGTAGTATTTGACTCATGATCAGTTTTCAACTCATGGTCTGTCCATCTGGACATCGTAGTCCATTGCCTAATCACGGGGTCATTTGGCCAGGCTGTGACCCCGTGTTCTTCTTGCTACTGCTGTTGTTCCGTTACTGCATATTTTTGTGACATTTATGAGAGAGAATATTAGCATTCCTTATCCAATTACTCCATCACTTCATTCTGTAATCATGTATAATGACTGACCTGACCTTTTTTTGTCTCATCTTAGCTGCCCATTGAATGTCATGCTTTTGTTGTTACACGCTATCCTGCTGATAAATCGTGACACATTTGTGACAGAAATTGCTGTCTTCTAACACACCTCCATTCATCTTCCGTCTCCAGGTGTAACAGCATGGTAGACACACCCACCTGCTGTCACCTGCCGTGTTTACTTACCACATATAGCAGTTCTATGCTATTTTGGTAGAGGGGTGCATGCCTCCATCATCAGTTTATATATCAGGGTTGCCAACATTAGAGTTCTTAAAATGAATACACATCACAAGGCTTTGTCATATGAAAAGTAATGCATAAGAAATTTTGCACATTTTTATAATTATTATATATTATAATAATATTTTTATAGTGAACAGATTTTTAAAATGAGATTGACTTTTGATTCTGAAAAAGTCATGGATCAAGAATAATGAACCAGAGGTTCATTAGCTTGGTATTTGAATACTTTAGACATTGTGAAGTTCTTTAAACATAACAAATGGAGGAAATGTTGGAAATGGAGTTGGCAACCTTGTCATGTATGCTGAATGTGTTTTGCTTGTGGGGTTTTAAATCTATGTTTTATTTATTTCTGAATAAATATGTAATTGAATGATTTACAATATATTTGTGTCTAATTTTCACTGATTAGTGTATTTTTCTTGTAGCTGAGCACTCACAATCATTGATATTTAATATTTTTTGTTTTTCTTTATTTTTCAATAATGGAATGATCCAGGCAACATGCCCCATAGTCTTTGTTCAGTATCATAAGCTAACTTCAATCTTTTCTATATTCTTACTTGTTTAATACTATCAATTATGTCATTAACAGTAAGGAATTAATTGGCATCTAATTAAGTTTTTTATCTGATTACAGCTGTAAACGTGGTTATAGTGGGACAAGATGTGAATATTTAATGAGACCAGGTATGAAACATTGTAGTTATATATCTATGGAAAGTTCTTAAAAATATTTATTGTATAAAGAACAATTCATATGTTAGTAAATTGAAGATAAAGAATTATAAGGTTCATAATTTGATCTAATCCCCATAAGTCTTAAAAAGAAAAAAAACAAACCATGAATAGGATATATAAAGCAGTGATGAATAACTTTGATAAATTTATTTTAATTACATACATGCTTATTTGATTTAAAAGTCAAGTCCAAGATAATTTAAATTTATTTTACATTTTCAGTCCAAGACCCTATGATGGCCAATGTAGCTGCAGGGATAGGAGTTGCAGTATTTGTAGTTGTCATAATTATAGTAGCTGTTGTTGCATATATTGTGTAAGTATGCTTTATTCCCTTTTCTTTTTTTCTCTGTCAAAAATGCAAAATTTTCTGGAAAATTGCAATCATTATAACTCTTTTTATAAAGAAGAGACCTGAGTTTAAAGATTTTGAAGGTTTTAATTATAGCTTAGTGCATTCCCAGTCCTGTAACTGTCTCATGTAAGATCGTCATCTACTCCACGTCTCACTTTATTTCTACCTGTCTTCGAACTGCTTGAACTCCAAATGGTTTACCACACATGTAAGGTTTTGGTAAAACAAAGATTGAATCAGATGTATGGAAAGATGAGGAAATGACATGGGTCACGGGATGTAGGATATATAAAGAACTGAGATTATTTTTACTGGCTTAGGTGTGTTCCGTAGTACATGTATCAGCTGCTGACCAAAGTGAAGCAGTTACATCTGTGGTATCACTTGGTTATACTGTGATCTCAATCTCTCTCTCACACACACACACACACATATTTCAATGTTTAAACATTTAAGATGGGGTTGTATTCTAAGGGATCTATTCAGACAGCCACATTTCATGATGTAATTTAGCTTATTTTAAAATACTTATAAGCTCTGATGTGAGTGCATCTTGCATTTTATTCTGACACATAAAAGCTGTTTCAGAAAAGTACTGGAGATGTCTACTGCTACAAACTATGTACATTGCAAATAGTGGGGTCATATCAAAGAAATATGAGTTTCTTGTTATTATGTAAAAAAGAAAAGTTGAAGATGTTGAAAATGGATGGGTAGGCACAAGGTCAAGAAAGCCACAGCTTTTATTCAAGTTTGTTTTCCTAAAAACAGGGAATTTGGGTTCCACCCTTTTTTGGGGTCTGTTAAAAATACGTTGAGTACCAGTAGCTTAATCTGGATGGCTGAACACATTTTGTGAAATCTTTTGATTTGGATCCCACCTTCTTCTGGTCCATTATATTCCATGCTGCATAAGCATGATGCATTACAAATTCATCATCATACATCATTAAACCTTCTTGAAAAAAAATATATAAGCAATTTTTATAAATGTACTGACACCAAGGCTATATTTGGCAAATTTGAAGAATTTAAATTCTGTTGGTAAATGGATGCGTTTGATCACAAGTTTGGACTGAACAGGGACAAAATCTTAATAGGTCATTTTAAACATTGTTGATTTTAGAAGGGTAGAAAAGGACAGGAATTTTCTAAAATCACTGTGTTGATGTTTGTAGAATTGGGGGCCATCCAGACACTACAGTTTTTATAAAATGTTCATTACCGACATTTATGTAATGGTTAGTTATAAGGAATTAACATTTGACGTGTACCTGCACAAGTTTTGGAGTCATCATCTGCAGTCTCAACCAGAAGACTAAAATTTTGTTGAAGAAAATGAACATTATATACAATCTGAACTTGACATCTCAATGAACTTTTTCCATAACAACATGCATTAACCATTTATTTTATTTCCAGCATAAGAAAAAGGAACAGTCGGCAAAGAACAATAAATCTTAATGCAGACACAGAGGACGAGGTAGGACGACCTTTCAGTCGGAGGGCTTCTGTTATTGCTAGTGATACTAAACGAGCGGTAATTAACCACTTTGCTTCACCATTAACAATTTTATTGAGGTATCTGCAAAGAAAATCCTCCATATAGTTCACTGAAAACATAAATTAAGATGCTGAACCATTCTGATTTTTGAAAACAAAATTATCGGGCCATGGTTGCAAAATGTTAATAAAATATGCTTTTCATACCTGTCAGTTATTTTCTTATACTGACAGTAAAAAAAAAAGAGAATCTAAAATTCTTTAACCAGAGATTTTTCTCCAACCAAACAAATGCAGTACATAGACAGACATGAACTGAATAATTAATATGGCTTTCAGCCTTAGTCATGGCAATAATTGTATTTTACTCTACTCCATACGTGACAAAGGCAGTATATCACCTTGTATTTTAATACATTGTGAATTTGTCTTGTGGTCCTATTATGAAGTATATTATCAGGTCTTGTGCAGATGCCTCAACAATTACCAGTGACACAGAGAGGTGGATGAGTGTGGAAAAAGTAATTTTTTTTCGTGAAATGTGAACCGTTTTCCTTGAAAAGAAACTTAATGATGAAAAAAGCAAAGAAATTTTACCCTGATATTTATACTTTCACGTAAAAAAGTTGAATATTCACTTCAAGAGCACTAATTAATACACCTCTCATTGTCATTTTGCATGGGTTGCAGTGATTTTAACATGTTCTCACAGTGGCATTTAGTTCAGTTAAAGCAAGCACTTTGATCTATCCAAATATTGAAAAGCACAGTGGGGAAAATTGATTGCTTTGCTTCTTACAGAGACCAGTTTATGCTGATCCAGATAAGCATGAGGTCAGTTAAGGCAAGGGCTTCTTTAAACTTGAAATCAAATGACCTCTTGCCCTTAATAGAGCGAGTTGATTTTCTTGAATGTATCATATGTGCAACAGCCCCTTGCATAAAGAGGCTCCATTGCACCTCAGACACTGAAATTTCCAGTTAATCAACCTTTTTTTGGTTGACAAGAGCCTTAGTTTCCAGTTCAAAGAAGCCCTTTTCTGCACAGTTCTTAGACTAGTAAGATGACTAAGGGTTTGTGTTTAGTCACCAAAGAACAGTTCAATCAATACTAACACCTAGACCACTCTAAAAGTGTGCCTCTGTAATTGCAGTGATTGCTACAATATTACGTAGAAAGCAAGAACACTGAAAGAGCATCATCTGATTGTAAGCTTTTTTCAGCATTTTAGTTACCAGAACTGGGACTGAAATTGCTTTGCTTTTTACTTTTGCAAACTAAAAAGATATGGAAGCTCAAAGCCATTCAAAGCTTTTGTCGTTGCAACATAATATATATATTTGGTTCAAGAGTTATAATACACAAATCACACTTTCTAAGGTCATAGAATGCATAGCATATGGTAGTGGCTTGAACTAAAAAATTTAGATACGGTGTAGTATTGCCTTTGAAAATCACAAAACAAATACCTCTCCCTTGTTTTTCTTTACAAAGCTGTGGCATGATTTATCACCTCAATCCACAATACTAAGCTGCACAAAGTAGATAAGTAATGTAATAAGTTGCCCTTTATAATTTGTACTTTTCTATCCCCAAACAAATATTTGCTATATGTGATAAGCCTCTCCAAGTCGTGTCAAATTACTCTAATTTCATTGGTAAAGTGCATTTTTGTGGTGAACAGTTTTTAAGTTGTAAACAATTGGAAATTTTCTCTTTAAGAACCTTCCATGTTGTCTTGATGTTTTTGCTTTTGAATTAATTTATGAATTAGTAAATTTTATGTGTATTTTTTTTCATTTGCTAGGCATTACCAACAGCTAATGGGCACCAAGAAGAAAAGTTGTTGAAAAACGATTTAGAAAGAGACTGTGAAAAAGGAGAAGCAGAAGACAAAGTATAGTGCCAACCAAACTGTAAATTTAACATTTGACGTGTACCTGTTTCACGTCCATGGAATAGTCAACTAAGCAGTGGGAAACCGTTGTAGATATTTATATAAGTATGAATGAATGAATGTGTGGATATTTATTTGAAGATATCTTGTTTTATAAGTAATACTTGGTGCATTGTTGGAACAAGACTACTTCTGTCTGTGTGAGTGTGGTAGTGCAACCAGTGGAATATCGCTGTCCTTGGCAACTTTGTCTCCCACTGCTTATGTATCATAAGCTCTCTATTGGCATTCAGATTGTGATTTGTTATTGCCAAGTTCATAATAGATGGAATGGCATTGCTTTTATTCTGAGGAACTGAAGTGGCATCCACAATGTACCTGTGGATGTGCCACAAGCAACATATTCCCACCCTACAAGTCCTGAATAGCATGTGCCTGTCCGTAGCCAAACATGTGACTGTGAAGATGAGCATATTTCCAAGACAAGCTCAATTCAAACTTGACAGTCAAACTGCGTTGACAGTCAAACTGCGGAGGAACACTGCTCACAAAAACTGCACAAAATCCCATGGCTGGAAGATGCTGTTGTCTATTGGCTGACAAGGATTAAATTAGGAATATCTTCTCATGAGGTCTGAGTCAGTTTTAGGAATTTCTCCAGAAGATTTGACAGGGATTTTTTGAGAAAAAAACTTTTATGGTGATATGGACACTTTTAAGAGGAATGGGATAATGGATATTTTACAGTGAACCTCTTTAAGTAATGTAGTTATGCTAGTCATGTATAGACGCATTTAAAATAAGTAAGACAGCTTGCTGCTGCCATCCTCACCAAGTGGAGCACCAACCCATTCCATGTAGCCATTGGATAATTATTGACCAATTACAGTCAGCATTGTGGCAAGAACAATTGGCATAAAATTTGTAATTTTAAGGTGTAATATTTCTGTGTGGAGGTTTTACATGCATTGGTGTTTTTTTTTTATTTGCCCACCTCCCCTCCATCATACATGCTAAGTGCATGAATGTAAAGCTTACAGTGGGATTATATGGCAATTTGAGGAACTTTAAGTGGAAAGAGTAATATCGCTCCACCTGTGAGATCAATTTCTGAACATGTAGTGGGAGGAGAATTCAGCAGGGTGAATGAGTAACCAAATGTGACCTTCTCTCTCCCATCCTACAAGTAGCAAACAAGTAGCTACAATGATTTTACCATTAAAAAATCTTATTTATTTTTAGATATATAGTTATTGAACAGTGAGTGAGGGTTAGGCTTACTCATCATGGAGTGGGTGGACTAATTACTGTAACTTAGGACGTGAGTGCATAGTGAGGTCCATTAAAGACAATCACATTGTGCTTTACGACAACTTCAGTCTTATGAATTCAATGTGTCCCAGAATTTTGGGCTGTTTTATAAAGTAGGACAGGATGTTTTGTCTAAAATTCAGCCTGAAACCCAAAGCCCTAATATGGCTGAATTGTTTATGGTGTATTTTCTTCGGGGAACAAGGCTGCTTTTAGTAAATTATACTGCTAATTTTATTTAAATTATTTGTTACAGCATTGCTATCTGTACAGTGGTTGGAAGTTAGATATTATAGATTGTGAGGTATAATTTGAATGTTTTATTTCCACCGATGGCTATTAGTGCTTATGCCAGTAATTATATGTTACAGCAGGTTTCTTTACAGGCCTGTTTAGACAATAGTACTGCAGTGACCCTGATAAATTAAACAAATTAAATGTTAGTTGTTTTTGTCATTACTATGAATATTAATGTTAATTTGGAAACAAGCTTAAAGTGAAATAGATGACCAATATATGTGAACAAGTTCTTCCTTATGGTGTTTAAGGATGTCGGACAAAATATCAACTTAAAAATACTTATAACTTGTACTTAGTGTTTAAAAACCTGTCAGTAGTGTATTAATGCTCAGTGGATTATGAAGTACTTACATAACATACACAAATGTGTCATATTAGTATCATTTGAATGTGAAACCATAGTAGTCGGTGGTGTGTTTGTGTTTCATGTGCAATAATTTTCACTGCTGCTTAGTTTTCTCTGAATGGATATTGTTATGATTTAGTGTCTGTTTTAACATTTATACATTGTAGGCTTTTCAAGTCCTTTTTTTAAATTATGTATATTAGTGCTGTTATTCATGCATGTTCAAGATACAGACACAAACAAGTGGAGGTATAAATAAAGAAATAAAATGTGAAAATACCATGTTATTATGCCATTATTAATGTACTTTGTTTTCTGCATGGCAGCAGTGAAGTAGCAAACTAAAAACATAGCAAAACCAAATGCTGATTTTGGCTTTAATACTTCAGTCCACTCCCACTTTCGTTTTCTACAAGAAGTGGTATTTTGTTAGAGGTGATCATCACGCATTCACCACAAACATAATTGTTGACCTAGCTAGGATAAACTTGCCGCGTTCTAACCACAGAAAAACAGCTGTTTTATATTTGGGACATTTAAAAAATAATGGCCATTTTGTTGAATATTAAACTGTAAAAATTAAGTTTTAAGTGAAGAGACTAATAATAAAATTTTAAAACAAAAGTAAACACATAGGGAAGCTATATTAATTACATGTATGTCATGCAAATACAGTACGCAACATTTGCACTCTGAAAGCTTCAGTGTCTTAAATAGAAATCCTGAATTTAAATGTGGTAATTATTTCTAATAGGCTTAAGTTCAGGAGCTCTTTTAATCAAATATCTGAAAAAAATATTGTTAAAAGATGTTAAGTTTCAGCTCTGTGCTCCACATTTTATGCTGTTCAAAAACTGAAGCTTTCAATATTTTCAATTAATTTTATTTAAAAAAGCTATGGAAAGAACAAGATCATCAGTATCTTTATTTCAAATTCATATAAATTTTCATTCCTCAAAACAAGCTTGTCCGTCATATATTCCCATGTAAAATTCAAAATGTCTTTACTTAATTAATTTCTATTACTATCCTCTAGTCCAAATGTGTCAAAGAGAAATATAACCCAATAATCTGTCTACTTCATAAATATATTCAAATTATTTACAAAAAGATACAGTGAGGACAATATCTTACATAAAAAATATTTGATCTAGGCAGGTTGCCAGCAGGTTTCCACATTTACTACAGGTAAATGCTGTTACTCTTTTGGTCAAATCGATTCTGTAGCAGAAAAACCTTTATACGTTTCAGCAATAAAGTAAAATGGCAACACTTTGGAACAACATTTTGTCTAGATAATAGGTTTCATTTACAATAACAAACCCTGTTCATCCAAAGTCTGAGAAAAAGTTATCTGTATAAATATGTACACCCAGTAAACACTCTTTTTATTTTTTTCCAGGCATTTGGTTTTGGATAATTAGTTTTTCTTCAAGTGCCTCACTGTCTACTTTTCTTTTAGAAGACTTATTTGTTGTCACTAACAAAACATACACCACGAAGCAGACCAAATTTACATACTTCAGATTTAACATAGTTAGATAATACTTAGTTACAAAACACTTCTTGGGGGAAAATTGTTCATTCATCTCATTCTCAGAGGAGTTAATACTGTATATGTCTGCCATCTAAATATCACATGCACTGTTAAACTGTATAAAAAAAGCATTCCATGGCTTAAACCACTTCTCCCTGATTATCCCTTTCATTATATTTGACCCAGTCCATGGCAATGGGGGCAGACAGCAATGCATCTGGCACAGCAAAGGCATCAGAGAGAGCCAGAGACTGAGGTGCAATCTGACGACAGAGCTCGGCCGCTACTTCATTCACCTGACGCCCAGTAGGCACTGTCATGGTTTCCGAGGTTACAAACCAACCCAAGTCTTTTTCTATGGTGTTGATGAGATATAGGTGGCGTAGCTGCGTCAGGATAGGTTTCAGTGATGCATCTGCTCTGTCGATAGCTGCTTGAAATTGCTCACTGATGAGGCGCTCTCCGTATGCGCGGGCAGCCCCTTGGACTAGGTCACTGCATCTGTACATCCAAGCATCAAACCTCCCTACAGGAATAGAATAGAAAATGATCAGCCTTTAGTTATATACACTTTCCGTAAAAAAAGACAACTTTTTGTTCAAATAGTATGAAATAGTTAAGGTCTTTAAAATTAAAACTTTTGTAACCCTCACTCTCTGTGTGTGTGTGTGTGTGTGTGTGTGCGTGCGTGCGTGTGAATTTTTTTAAGATTAATCATTTTCAGACACTCACAACAATGTCATAACTTACAAAAAACCAAGTAATTCTTCATAACTTTTGAAAAGGAAATGCTTGAGTATTATGATCATAATACTTTTGGGGGTAGAAGATTATTAATTTATGTTGTTTGAATTCATTCAACAGTTACTGTACCTTCTTTACCAGCTTCCATCATCTTCATTCCCAGTGTCATGAACAGGGTAATCTCCCTCTTCTGCATCAAGAAGTGCAGGTAGTCCAGGTTGTTCAGGTTCTCTGTGGTCACCTCTGTAACGTTAGGGGGGTTGGTCATGAACATCTCCAAGACTTCCTTGGCGACTTTCTGCATCAGGACACTGTTGTCTCCCTCTGCGGTCAGCGCAGCATGGGCAGCGCCGAGGAAAGTGCCAAACCTGTTGCATGACAAGTAGCCTTGCCCTCCACATCTCTCTCTGCCAACCGACGCCATTTCTTCACCATACCAACCAGCTAGGGCCTTGATAGCACAGCACATTGTGACCACCTCCTGGTGCTCTGAACCATCTGGTTTCTGAAAAGCCCAGCGATCTTTCACGTAGTCCAAGGCAAAGTTCATGGCGTAGGTGTTGGCCAAGAATGGGATGAGCGCCCTCTGCTGGAGCTGATACTTAAGAATAGGCGTGTCTGATTTTCCTGAGGCTCCAACTGTGAGGCGTGTAGCAGCATATCTCAGTGCTATGGTGAGTCCGGCCTTGGCAGCCCCCTGCCCCATACTAGCAATGCAGATACGCCCAGACAGCAACTGGTCAGCCACTGTGAGGAACCTGGCCCTGTTCCCCTTGATGGAGGTGGTGAAGGTGCCATCCTCTGCAACATCAGAATACTTGTTCAGCAAATTCTCTCTGGGCACTCTGACGTTATTAAAAGATAACTTGGCATTATCAACTCCATTTAGTCCCATCTTGTGACCCATATCCTCTATCAACACATTGGGCATGGTTTTCAGGTCATCGTCACGGATACGCACCAGCACTCCGTGGATCCCATGGTTTTGTCCGTCCACTATCAACTGTGCAAAGACCACGCAGTGCTTGGCATGTATTGCGCCATTAGTGATCCAGTATTTCTGAGCCAAAGGGGTCGGGGTGTTGATCACAAACTCCTGAGTGCTCTTGTCATACACAGCTGTTGTTTCCATCTCTACTGCATTGTTCCCATAGCCAAGTTCTGTAAGCCCAAAGCAGCCAATATCATCTAAGGTGTCAATTCCTGAAAATATAAAGAAAATACCACCTGAGAAAATGTGAATGTTTTTTCTTTTTTTATATGAGAATTGATGGTGGGTTCTGGTGGATTTTATTCAAAAACTAATATTTTTTTTTCTAATCCTATCTTTATACTAATTAAGTTGATAACATTTAGATGGTAAACAATGCATTATTTAAAACTTGAATTCAATTTCAAAAGCAGGGTGAGTTAACATGTGAATTAAATGTGCGTTTGCCATTTTTTATGAAAACTTTATAATAAAATTGGCAATAATTCACACTGCATTACAGACCTGCCAGTAGTTTATTCAGGTGTCTCTCGGTTCCCAATTTGAGCACGGTCCCTCCAAACAGGTTGAACTGCACTGTCATCTTGGTGGCCGTGGCAGGATCAATGATAGCCACCAGTTCATGGGCAGCAAAGATACGCAAGGGGTTGTTTTTGAAGTCGAGCACAGAGATGAATTGCAAGTCGCAGATCCGCTGGAGAATCTTCAAGGCTTTTTCTCTCTCTTCTTCCAGTGGGATGTTATACTGGGGAATGATGTCTGGGTCATTGCTGAGATATTCTCGGAATTTCTTCCTCATCTCATGATTGTCGTGATCCAACAGTGCCGTCATCTTCTCCATGTCAAAGGACGGTTTCTCCCACTCGCTGCGTAAACTCTCTGGTTTGAGAGCAGAGGCTGTGGCTACAGGGCGGAGACATGAAACACCTAACCCTTGTTTTACCTGGAGTAATGCAGAGCTGCATACTTTCTGCTGATGAAATGCTCTTGTTTGTTTGGTCAAGTGCCTTAGTAGTACAGATATTCTTGAGACAGCAGCCATCTAAAATATCAAATGGTATATACCTGTTAATAAGTATAAAGTTAGTTTGTTAAATAATTCTTTAGATAAGATTTTTACTGTGCCATATGCTCCCAATTCTAGTAAGTAGTAATAAAAATCAATTTAATGCAATTATATACTGATATAACTAAATAAAAAGTATTTATCTATGCTTTGGATATTTCAAACAACCATGACTAAGTTTTAAAGATATTCTTAATGCAGACTTAAATGGCTCAGTCCAAAACAAAACTTGGCAAGTGCTTTTAATGTAACAAAGTTAATTGCTGGATATGCTAAATAATCTAAAAATGTCTTTCTGCATGTGTCATGCCAAAACAGGCATATTTGCCCGAAAAAAGATAAGTGATTTACAAGAATTAAAAGCAGCAAATTTTGCATTTGTTTAGCAAAGTTCTATTCCAAAACATATTCAAATGATATAAATGAATCTGGAAACAACCGTAATGGAATGCTGAAAATTGAGAGGATGACATGAGAATAATTTTAATGTAACACTTGCCAAATTATCATGCAAACAGCACGACGCTAAAAGAAAGAAAAAAATCAAAATTATACTCTATTATGTATTACATTCATGATTCTCAGCAGTGATATCTCTCAAATTTGTCTTCTTATTGCACACAGTTATCTACTTAGCCACAGGCCAATGAAATATGAGTGTAGATAAATTTATCTGTGCCTTAAATCACAGGTGAGTAACCTAAAACATTATTTTTTCCGGGTCGTAGACTATGCACAGATAAGATCCAGATCAAGAAACTCGTTTGAATGTATTACCACAACAACAGTAATATATTCCAGTCTGATAAGATCTTAACTGCCCTGCCAGGACACAAGTGACCAACTCTGTGGATGTGATAACATGGTCTCTGTGTGGTGTCTCTGTGTTGTGTGGAATACACTGTTGTAAATACTTTGCTTCATTTCAGCTGGGTATTCATTTCACAATGGATTGTTTTAGTATGACAGACAAAATGACACTTATAGTTCATAGCAACCTTTAGGCACATTACAATAAACTGATATAAAGTGAAAGCAAATACTTTCTTTGGTAGCTATGCAGTATGCCCCCAAACTGATAAACAAGTGAGTCTCTCATTTTTTTTTTTTTTTCAAAACTTGTTTTTGAAGTTTCTTTGACCAATGCCTCTGATATTTAAATAAATAAGTTTTGCTATCTACTTACAGGTTTTTTATGTTCATTCCTGGCATGACCTCAGCTCTTTTTATATTTAAATGGGCTTGAGTTTTCCAATAAAACATTTGAAAAAATCATTCAGTAAATTGCCAAACAAAATTCTTTGTTTAACACAGACGATGACAAAAGATACCACATAAATGCAGACATGGGGAAAATTGGGAGATACTAAAGGACCTGGATAGCAAGAAATCTGCAGGTCTTCCCAATTCCGTGCTGGTCCAAAGTAACTATTTTATTTCCTTTAAGCTTTGTTTACATTTGATTTATAATAACTAGTATGTGCTGCATTTTCACATAAACCTTACAGTTTCCCTTTGTCTGTAAAAGGTTTTAGAAAAAACAAAATGCCACATTACGTCCTTCTTTCTTTAGTGTGCTTTTATATAGGGACAAGTGAAAACTATTGTTTGGTACTGTACCTGGTAAAACTGCAGGGTCTAATGCACATTGAAATGCAGCTTTCCATTCTACTTAATCCACCCTTTGCGCTGGGTGTGACTAAGGAATTAGATACCCTATATCATTTCTTGGTGTGGCAGACTGGCACACTAACACTGTTCAATTTGTGAATGAATTGATGCATTTTAACGCAAACCCCTGCATAAATGATAAGCGCTAAACTTCACAATCATTACAATACTCAATATGGTATAGAAGGGATCTCATTTATCGTATATTACACGGTATATATAATCTAATTGACTTGTTTTTAAGAGAGTTTACAGAGAGTTGATAAATGCAAAAACATTTTTGGGTTCAATGCATTATCAAAGCTCTGAAAATCAAAAACTTGTACGTTTGGGAGTATACTGCACAAGGAGCCTTACTTTTGTTAAACATCACATTTAAAACTGTGGATTACATGATAATTTGACATCTAGTACTTGCCTTTGAATCTTGTTTAGATGTCAAGTTACTCAACCATCCGTCAGCTGCTACAGCAAACTAACCTTTGTACCTTACCTGTACCGCAGTGAATAATTTGAGTAAATGTTATTGGTTGGTTCTAGGGTTTTCAGCGAAGTTACGAGACATGGTAAGGCCTTCATTCATGGCTAACGAAGGAGAAAAGACGTGGCCATAATCAAAGGGCCTGTAATAAGCATATATTATTGGTATCTCGGCATCATTTTCACCCACTGTTTACAAAGGTCTAAAGAAACTAAAGTTATTCTAGTTTACCGAATGTGGGTGGGTGTGGGTGGAGAGGGGGGGGGGGCATTTTGAAAATGGAAGCAGTCGGAGCTGTTGCCCTTTATTAGATCTGCCCCCTGTTATTGTTACGTATGCATTCTAATATTATCAGGAAAGTTAAAGGAATTTCAGCCAACAGACAATTTTCAACTGAATTTTTGACACGAGTATTTATCCAGTTCAGGGTGATCCAGTTAGGCCATGGGCTTGAAAATCCCCCAAATGCGTATTTTTTGCCATCCACTGCTTCTTATAAAACCTTAGGCCTTGGACATAATGGAATAACGAATTGTGAAAAAAATATACTTGAAGTTGTGGACATAACGTGGTTACCTGGTTGGTTACTAATTTTTGAGAGAACGGCGGCTTGAATACACAACAGCTAAAGTTTTCCAGGTAGTCTTTATTCCTCTCATACGGGATGTAGGCTACCTTCATTATTTAAATTTAGGCCTATTACAGTACTCTACAGATACTTTTGTTTCTAATTTTGGTTTCTCTTCTCTTCTGTGATTGTAATTTTAATTTAAAGACAGGGACAAATTGTATAACACTACTGACCTCTCGTCCGCAAGAAGTTTGGCCTCCGGCCAAAATGGAAAACTACTAAAACTACATATTGAAAGAACATGCAAAAACACAACAAAAGTGGTGAACTTCAACAGTGCTCGGCTTCTTATTGAACAAAAGGAAGAAAAATGTGGAATGTGCAGAATGTACAGAATTAGTCCCACATATCGTCGNTAACTTATAAGTATAAAGTTAGTTTGTTAAATAATTCTTTAGATAAGATTTTTACAGTGCCATATGCTCCCAATTCTAGTAAGTAGTAATAAAAATCAATTTAATGCAATTATATACTGATATAACTAAAAAAGTATTTATTATCTATGCTTTGGATATTTCAAACAACCATGACTAAGTTTTAAAGATATTCTTAATGCAGACTTAAATGGCTCAGTCCAAAACAAAACTTGGCAAGTGCTTTTAATGTAACAAAGTTAATTGCTGGATATGCTAAATAATCTAAAAATGTCTTTCTGCATGTGTCATGCCAAAACAGGCATATTTGCCCGAAAAAAGATAAGTGATTTACAAGAATGAAAAGCAGCAAATTTTGCATTTGTTTAGCAAAGTTCTATTCCAAAACATATTCAAATGATATAAATGAATCTGGAAACAACGGTAATGGAATGCTGAAAATTGAGAGGATGACATGAGAATAATTTTAATGTAACACTTGCAATATTATCATGCAAACAGCACGACGCTAAAAGAAAGAAAAATATCAAAATTATACTCTATTATGTATTACATTCATGATTCTCAGCAGTGATATCTCTCAAATTTGTCTTCTTATTGCACACAGTTATCTACTTAGCCACAGGCCAATGAAATATGAGTGTAGATAAATCTATCTGTGCCTTAAATCACAGGTGAGTAACCTAAAACATTATTTTTTCCGGGTCGTAGACTATGCACAGATAAGATCCAGATCAAGAAACTCGGTTGAATGAATTACCACAACAACAGTAATATATTCCAGTCTGATAAGATCTTAACTGCCCTGCCAGGACACAAGTGACCAACTCAGTGGATGGGATAACATGGTCTCTTTGTTGTGTGGAATACACTGTTGTAAATACTTTATTCAATTTCAGCTGGGTATTCATTTCACAATGGATTGTTTTAGTATGACAGACAAAATGACGCTTATAGTTCATAGCAACCTTAAGGCACATTACAATAAATTGATATAAAATGAAGGCAAATGCTTTCTTTGACAGTTATGCAGTATGTCCCCAAACTTATAAACATGCAAGTCTCTGTTTTTTTCCATACCTTTTTTTTTGTGGTAATGTTCACCAATGTCTCTGATATTTAAATAACTAAGTTTTGCAATCCACTTTCTGGTTTTTTTATGTTCATCCCTGACATGAGCTCAGCTCTTATTATTTTTAAATGGGCTTGAATTTTCCAATAAAACCTTTAAAAATCATTCAGTAAAGTGCCAAACAAAGTCCTTTGTTTAACACAGACAGTGACAAAAGTTACCACATAAATGCAGACATGGGGAAAATTTGAAGATACTTAAGGTCCTGGATAACAAGATATCTGCAGGTCTTCCGTGCTGGTCCAAAGTAACTATTTTATTTCCTCTAAGCTTTGTTTACATTTGATTTATTATAACTAGTATGTGCTGCATTTTCACATAAACCTTAGGAGTCCAGATACCAAGCAATATAAAAAATCTTGCAGGCTCCCTGGTATTGTCATGTCCAGTTTCCCTTTGTCTGTAAAAGGTTTTAGAAAATAACAAAATGCCACATTATGTCCTTCTTTCTTCAGTGTGCTTTTATATAGGGACAAGTGAAAACTATTGTTTGGTACTGTACCTGGTAATACTGCAGGGAATTATGCACTATAAAATGCAGCTTTCCATTCTTTTTAATCCACCCTTTGCGCTGGGTGTGACTAAGGAATTAGATACCCTATATCATTTCTTGGTGTGGCAGACTGGCACACTAACACTTCAATTTGTGAATGAAACAATGTATTTTAATGCAGACCCATTCAAAAATGATAAGCGCTAAACTTCAGAATCATTACAATACTCAATATGTTATAGAAGAGATCTCATTTATCGTATATATCACGGTATATATAATCTATTTGACTTGTTATTAAGAGAGTAAGAGAGTTGGTAAATGCAAAAACATTTTTGGATTCAAAGCATTATCAAAACTCTGAAAATAAAAAAACTTGTAAGTTTGGGAGTATACTGCACAAGGAGACTTACTTTTGCTAAACAGCATGCATATTTAAAACTGTGGATTACATGATAATTTGCCATCTAGTACTTGCCTTTGAATCTTGTTTAGATGTCAAGTTACTCAACCATCCGTCAGCTGCTACAGCAAACTAACCTTTGTACCTTACCTGTACCGCAGTAAATAATTTGACTAAATGTTATTGGTTGGTTCGAGGGTTTTCAGCGAAGTTACGAGATACGATAATAAGCACCAGGGCCTTCATTCACGAACACTGATTCATGAATAACGAAGGAGAAAAGACGTGGCCATAATCAAAGGGCCTGTAATTAGCATATATTATTGGTATCTCGGCATCATTTTCACCCACTGTTTACAAAGGTCTAAAGAAACTAAAGTCATTCTAGTTTACCGAATGTGGGGGGGGGGGGGTGGGGGGGGGCAGGCATTTTGAAAATGGAAACAGTCGATCGGAGCTGTCGCCCATTATTAGATCTACCCCCTGTTATTGTTACGTATGCATTCTGATATTATCAGGAAATTTAAAGGAATTTCAGCCAACAGACAATTTTCAACTGAATTTTTGACACGAGCATTTATCCAGTTAGGCCATGGGCTTGAAAATCCCCCAAATGCGTATTTTTTGCCATCCACTGTTTCTTATAAAACCTTAGGCCTTGGACATAATGGACTAACGAATTGTGAAAAAAATATACTTGTGGACAAACGTGCAGTAAAATTGTAACCTTGGTTGGTTAGGCCTACTAATTTTTGAGAGAACGGCGGCTTGAATACACACAACAGCGAAAATTGTTTTCCAGGTAGTCTTTATTTATTCCTCTTATACGGGATGTAGGCTACCTTCATTATTTAAATTTAGGCCTATTACTCTACAGATACTTTTGTTTCTAATTTTGGTGTCTCTTCTCTTCTGTGATTGTAATTTTAATTTAAAGACAAGGACAAATTGTATAACACTACTGACCTCTCGTCCGCAAGAAGTTTGGCCTCCGGCCAAAATGGAAAACTACTAAAACTACATATTGAAAGAACATGCAAAAACACAACAAAAGTGGTGAACTTCAACAGTGCTCGGCTTCTTATTGAACAATAGGAAGAAAAATGTGGAATGTGCAGAATGTACAGAACTAGTCCCACATATCGTCTTCGTCGTTGGACAGCGGCGGTCGAAGGCGGAGGGTCCAGTGGCCTCTGGGTCACTGTGGGGAGGGGATCGTCGCACTGCAGGGGGACCGAACCACTACTCGTCGGAAGCTGGAACCCGGTGGCAGAGGAACTGTTACCACATCGTCAATGGCTGCTTGCAGACCGCCCATCACGGCAGCGGGGGTCCACGGCCGCTAAAACATGATATGGCCCGCAAGAGCCCCTCTCGGGGGTTAGGGTCTGGTTGACGGGAACAATATCACCCTGGCCCGTTGATATGAGGTGGCAGAGCCATGGTGTGCAATATGGCGAAGAGGAGAGCAAGGAGCTCTCCCAACGATTTGGTGCCACTGGTGGTGGTGGTGGGAGGGGGGGGGGGCGCCAACCCATCAAAATCAACAAGTGCGGACCAGCCTGCAGAACGGGGCTGACCAGGTCCGCCAGCGCCGTGTACAACTCTTGGGGTGCTGCCCGGCAGCGTACCGTGGCAGCCCCCTCGATATCAGGCACTTCGGCCATGTCAACAGCCCTCACAAGGCGACGAACAGTGGAATCGCCAACAACGAAACGTCTATTTAGCTGAAGTTTTTTGATAAAGAAATTTCATATTTTTTCTACACGAATAAACGGTCCAACACTATTTGCATGCTTTAACATTTGAGTGTTCCGCATCTTAGATGTTCCTTTGTTTAGGGCTGTTCTACCCCGTATCTTGTTTTTTTTTTATTACAATAATTAGTGTAACATAAACTACTAACAATGTGCTCTAAAAATTATCGATTTTGTTTGCTTTTGATCCTTCTGAAAAGGCTGCGGCACAGTTGCAAGTTTTTCTCGTCATACGGCGGTAAGAAAGGCACGAGCTTAAAACATTTTATTTTTCTCATCCATGCGGACACGAAAGGAATGTCGTAATCTTTGAGGCTTCCTTGCAAAACCGCTGCAGAGTTTCCAGAGAGACTCTCTTTCCATCTTTTTATTCCTCTTTCTTCCATAGTACCTAGAAAAAAAACAAGAAAGTAAACTAGAAGCCAGTCTGTCAACCATGAAGAACCAGAAATCATAAGACCTGGCGGCGGATCGTCACTGTTGAAGTCCACTGATCAGACTGAGACTTATGAAGACATACATATACTTGTAAGTTTTCAGTAAAGAACGGTTCAGATATATGGTAGGTAGTTCACCGCAGCACTACCTACTAAACATCGTTCTCGAATATAACAGTATAAGAATTAGAAGCACCTGGAGTGCAGCGTTGAACCGAAATAAATAGAAAAGTGGCCTATTAACTTACCAGGGACTGTATTATCCAAGAAGAACCCCAATAGTCCACTTATGAACATGGGTGTGGTCAAAAAAACTGCGAACAGTTGGTCAATCTCATTTACACCTTAAATATGAGCAAAAGCAATAGTTACGGATTATCAAAATTGACACATCGTCATACGCCTGCATATCGTCATACGCTATTTAAAGCAAACTTGTGTTGAGCTACAATACATGTTTCTTAAGAAATCTTCAAATAAAATGAAGTGAAAACATGAAGACATCTTCACTCTTTAATATTAAATACTTAATAAGTACCCGTTCTGACCGCTGTTGGATTCTTCCTCATCCAGTACGGTACCAGAAGGCCACACATCAGTGATGTTCCTAGGATAGCCATATTACGGGAGGATCTCATGTCGATGAACTCCAGGTTTGACAGACCCACCGAGATTACCATGGCTAACCCCAGGGTGATAATGGCGCCTTGGATGGGGTCGGGAATGGCTGCCAGGGTGGCACCAAACTTTCCAATGACTCCAAGAACTATCATCAACATACCTGCTGTCTGGAACACCCTCAAACTGCCGACCTAAGTTGATAAGTATGTAGAAAAAAGATCCCTCAATAGTAGTGAGAGCTGTACGTGCGTTTTTTGACCAACAAAATAGAATCACACACGTTGAATACTACAGCAACGAGAGTTTTTTTCTGTGACAATAAAGAATGTGACTGATAGGCTTAGCACCCACCGAAACTGATAAAAAATTAGAATTTGCATATGTCACGTTTTAACAAATTATCATTGGTGCTGGATTTACTTCGCTGTTACTTTTAAAACGTGTGTAAGCTCACTTTAGTAATTCCAATGATTCCAATGCACTGACTGAAGGAGGTTGTACCATGTCCAGTCCCTATACTTCCTGCTATAATACTTCCGATCCCTTCAGTGAGTATGCCTCTGTTGACGGCGTGAGAGGGAGGGGATGGCATCTCACATACACTGGCGCATGCGTGGTAGTCCCCTATAGACTCTATGGTGGAAGCTATGGTGGCGGCCATCATGCCGACCACACCCCCTACGCTAACGGTGGGTAAGCCATATCTGCCTGAATAGAAAATGAATGGAATATGAACGGAAATATATTTAGTATTAAACAAGCATAAAAGACAATAGGTGTTGCGGCACAAATGATAACCGCCACTTCACACATGCCATAGCCTACAAACCAAACCAAACAGCATAACAACCTGTTTACATTATTTTGTACAAATAAAATCAACAATATTCTATTTTAATTGTTATTATGCTGATGTTATTAATCATAAAAATGTGCACTGCGATTAATTTGAGTATAGAAGCGTTGTATGACAATTTGCTTGATAAAAAAATATGATGGCTGCACGCTCAAATGCATACAAATCGAGGTTACTCGCCCAAGTTACCTGGATAAGGGAAGAAGAACCACTTTGCAGTGTAAATGCCGTCCACGTAAGCGTCCGTCCGTGCCTTGTATTGGGGGTGTCCAGGGTCGTCAGGGAGAACTCCAGTTAAAGTCAGAATGAGGCTCACTATCCAGGCAATCACTATCATAAATATTGCCTGAAACATTGGGAAATATCTGAGTTTTTCTCATTTTGTGGCAACAGAAACTGCCAGAAGACAACTGTGTCGACATCAGTCATTCCCAGACATTTTGGTTTTAATGAAAAGAATAAATAAACCTGAATGACATGAATGGCACTTCTAGGACTTTTCGTAACTGTAATTTGTGATCATTAACAAAACGCCGTTTTAACACTGCAGACAAAAATATATCACGCTCCATTATTTTATCTATATTAGGTTAAAAATTATAGGTTTCCAAGTCAGTTTTGTTGCTGTGAACTTTTTTTTTGTTTTTGCACATTTTATTTTCTATTTTTCTTTGCAGACGGGGTATCTTCATAGTCTATACCTCCCAACACTTAAAATTCACCACAAATAACAAATATACATGTAGATCAACAAAATTGATGGGCACTAATGTAAATTCTGTTGACATAGCAACATGTTTTATGAAAAAAGCTCAGGAACAACAAACAGCTGCAGTCCAAGCTGCGGCTCTTTAAATTTATCCAGTCACTCTTAATTTATGGGACGGCCTTCATATTAACCAGGAAAGAAGTGTCTGCAATAATATTTCAGACATGTTAAAAATACAAAATGACCCACCGGTATCAATACAAATATCTGACAGCTGGTTTTATGGCAGCCACTGGCGCGGTTCCACCACAGGAAGGGAGCTTGCACATTTCTCATGTAAATAGCGCAAATAAAACCGACTGCAAGAGCTCTGAAACGGACCAAAATGATAGAAATTAAAATAAAATACCAAACACAACCAATGAAAAGATCTATATATGATCTATGAAATTTTGTAATAAATATCTTTAAAATAGCAAATAATTTTTGGCAAAATGGTTGTTATTGAATAAGACAAAGATGCACTTGTTGTAAAAAGTCTGTAAACAAATTGGCATTCCCTGTCCACAAGGGTGTCCGTAATAGGGATATATGTAATATGTGCACTGACGAATATTTTAAAAGAAAGGTTTAAAAGATTTATTTTTTCCAAAATACTTATTATAACGAGGCAAATATAAAATGGTAGATGGTTTTTTATCATAATACATGCATGTAGGGTACAGGGATGAGAAATTTTTTGGTTTGGCATTGGTGTGTGTGTGTGTGTGTGTGTGCGTGTGTGTGTGTGTGGTCAACTTACAGTGTCCATATCCCCCAGTGGACTGATCCATAATCCGCGCACACATCAAATACCGACAGTCCAATCATGGCTACGGTAGGCGCAATAGTGAGGGGTCCTATGTAGTTCATCAGAACGCCGATCGCTCCCGTACCACCTAAGATCACTTGGACGAGGGAGGCAACCATAAGACTCCCCTGAACTTCGTTAAGTCTATCCTGCCAAGTGACCTGTTCTTTCACGGTTCCATTATTTGTTGTGTTGGAATAAAAACTGCTGGAAATATCTGCACGGACAAAATGATTCCTTTGCCATTTGCACGAACATGTAGCCATAAATTAGGATACTTCATCAGGTATGACGATAAATTACCGAAACAGAATTGGCCATTTTTAAAAGTCATATAAGTCCGTTTTTTTAATAGTGGAGTTATCTTTCAAATATGTTTTAAGATAAAACGGCACAACAATTGCTTAATATTCATGTACGTTCGCATCAAAAGAGTGAAAATAGACAAAATAATGTTTTACCGTATGGCACGTTTTCTGGACATTTCATTCCCTCAATTGTGAGCATGGCTATTAAAGGTGCTATGAAGGAAAAACTACTGCCTTGGATGATTGGAAGTCTGGAAAAGAACACAGAACAAGCAAGGTTTATCAGTCCTGTAGGCAGGGGGTCAGTGGGGGTGTCAGGAAAGAAAGAAAAAAACCTTCCATTTGATCACAATAAGTACACTCTGAATCAATAGTTGATCTAGGCTCTATGCCTTTTGTCAAATTAAGTCAGCTAAAGGGGTAAAAGGGTTCAATCTTCAGGAAAACCGCTTTGAAATAATGATAAAGATGAAACAAAAGAGAGAGAGAGAGAGAGAGAGAGAAAGACTCACCTAACTCCAACGCTACACTGTAGCAGTGTTACTACCCCACAAGCAAATATTGTTGCGCTGAACAGTTCCGCCCGCACCTCCTGGCTGTCGCCGGCACAGATGAGCTTAACAACGATCAGAGGGATGGAGACGCTGCCTGTGATACACATCACACTTTGCTGGGAATGTAAAATGTTGGAACCGTGAAGATAAAAACAGAATGCAAGTATACATTGGGTGTGGGATGGAACCTCCCTGCAGAATTTAAAAAAGATCTTCAAAACGGACGCAGCTGCCATAAGAAAAATATATAGGGGAGTGACATTAAGGGGATATTTCAAGTTTTTGTTTAACATGGGTCCAAGAGCACAATGATCATAGAGATTAGTTTCCAGTAATTACTGAAATACAAGGTGGTTTATGTCGCCCCTTACAATATTTACCTGAAGAGCAAAAATCAGCGTTGTTGGTATGGAGGGCACAGACTTGATTGGGTATAGCAACCTCTTCTCATTTTCCTCTGCCATGTTCTCTTCACAAACAATGGGCACTGTTTCAGGCATAGTAGTTACAACAGGATTCTGTTCCTTCTCATTAGCTTGATGTGCTACAGACAAAAAATATATATCCACAACTGCACGCAACCTTCAAGTTAACAATCCAGTATCTGTAACGTTCACTAAATAGGCTTAGGCTGCATTCACATCGAGTTGAGCCATGGCTCTACNTCTTTTAATAGTCTCCCCGCCTCTCACACGCCTCCCCATGCGCCGTCCCTGCGGGAGTACTGTCATTAAATCTCGGCTCCATTGGGGCGACACATGGGGAGGCTTGTGAGAGGCGGAGAGACTATTAAAAGATTAGGCAGTTTTCCTTTCATGTACGTCCGCCATATTTAGGTCTTGGCTTTGTAGAGCCATGGCTCAACTCGATGTGAATGCGGCCTTAGATCACGGTGAAATTGGAGAACAACAGACTCAGACGTGGTGTAACTAGTACTAACAGCACGTCTCGTATGAATGCGTTATAGCCCGCTTAAGGACCCCTCATCGGCGAGGGTTTGTGACATGAACTTGTGCTTCGCACTCGTGTAAGCCACATAACTCTCGCTGACTAGAGGTCCATCTATTACTAATATTGTTACTGTAGGTGTGTGAACACTGTAAGCAGTGCATTACTCTGAGTGTCAAAGATCCGAATGACGTAGGCTATATTATTCATTTTAAAATCTCCGTATGTGCAAACTTATCAGACTTTGGTATACACATTGAGAAACTCATGTGACCTCTGAAATTCCGTTACAGAACGAAAACCCCCTACTGTACTCGTTTGGAAGAGATCTTAGCTTATACTTACCTGTGTTCGAGTCCAAAGAAATCTGGTCCAGCATCATTTTGCTTGTGGAAGTTGAACAAACTATCTATCGATGTGCAGCCCTGACAGTGTTAGCTCCTGCTTACAGATGGCACGAGCTAATATTTTGCATGGGCTGTTTGACGTTTGAGCTAGATCGAGGGGACACTCATCATTCATATCTGTTATGCCGGCCTTTCATCGCTTATCAATGGCATGCCCACGAATAAGAGAAAATATTTACATACTACACTTAGGTCATGCCCAAGGCAAATTGCGCTTTTCATAACGACCATAGTCCTTATAGTTATGTCCTTGAGATTTTCTACCTGTTGCAATATTTTGAAATGTGGGTATGTCGAGTCAACAATGTTATATCCATATTAGGTTAAAAATTATAGGTATCTAAGTCAGTTTTGTTGCTGTGAACTTTGTTTGTTTGTTTGTTTATGCACATTCTTTTCTATTTTTCTTTACAGATGGGGTATTTTCATAGTCTATATCTCCCAACACATGAAATTCAGCACAAAGGACAGATATGCATGTAGATCAACAAAAGTGATGGGTACCAATGTAAATTCTGTTGGCATGGCAACATGTTTTATAAAAAAGCTATTTATCATTTCTTAGTGCATTTTCGTTGCAAGCGAAGTATTCTCATTGTTTCCAATCCCACGTTATGTTGTCAGCATATAGCAAAGATAAAGATAAACAGAAAGTGATAGCTGTTCATATTAATTTTGTTGCTAAGCAACATGTTTTAAGAAAAGCCCAGGAACAACAAACAGTCCAAGTTGTGACTTTTTCAATTTATTCAGTCACTCTTAATTTATGGGACAGCCTTCATAGTAACCAGGAAGGAACTACGGTATCAGTAAGGGGATGGACTTCAATATCATTTACCCCCTCTTAAATACAGGTGAGCAGGGCAAACTTATACATGGAAGAATATGAAATATTAACTGTTTATCTTAGTATTTGACGGTGTGCCATAACTTTATGTACCATGCAGAGTCAAAGTCATGTTGCTCGCTATGGAGGGAATAATCTATTTGTTTCGTTTGTTTTTGTTTCTTCTAAGAACTTTGCCGCAAGCTTGCAAAGTCCTCTCTTGATATGGAGGTAAACAGGGCACGAGTTTAAAACATTTTATTTTTCTCATCCAGTCAGACACAAACGGAATGTCGTAATCCTTCATGCTTCCCTGCAAAATTGCTGTCGATTTTCCAGAAAGACTTTCTTTCCATCTTTTAATTCCTCTTTCTTCTACAGTAGCTAGAGAAAAAGCAGACAATAAAATTCAAATAAAATCATTCACGTCAATGGCGATATGATTACAAACACATAAAGGCCAACAAATTAAAGCTGCAAAGCTATTTTCAAAGAAAAGAAGAGGCAGAGGCCATCCTCTTTTTTATTTGTACTTAACAATATTATTATTATTATTAATATTGTTATTATCATTATTATTTGAAAACTGACGTCATTGCCTTAATCGTTGACGTCTGGTTGTCAGACTGATTGGCATATTTCCCAGAACGAAAATGGTTCCAAGAACTTTACCTGGGACTGTATTATCCAGGAAAAACCCCAGAAGTCCACTTATAAACATGGGCGTGGTCAAAAATACTGTGAACAGTTGGTCAATCTCATTTACACCTTGAATGAGATGATACAAATCCAGATCATGAATAATTATGATAAATTAACTAATAGACAATAGACCATCATTTTGCACAAAAATCAAACGATTTTCAGTATTTCCGACATATTGTAATAGACTGAAGAACCCACATGTAGTTTCGTATAGAATTATTGTTTTATTCTGGACAAGCGTTAGGGAATGCATCGCTTTAGCAGTTATTCACTGAAAATACTACATGATCAGATCAATAAGTACCCGTTCTGACCGCTGTTGGATTCTTCTTCATCCAGTACGGTACCAGAAGGCCACACATCAGTGCTGTTCCTAGGATAGCCATATTACGGGAGGATCTCATGTCGATGAACTCCAGGTTTGAGAGACCTACCGAGACCACCATGGCTATCCCCAGGGTGATAATGGCGCCTTGGATGGGGTCGGGAATGGCCGCCAGGGTGGCACCAAACTTTCCAATGACTCCAAGAACTATCATCAATATACCTGCTGTCTGGAACACCCTCAAACTGCCGACCTGACATACAGTGTATATGCAGACTTGATGATATTGTTGATAAAACCAATGCAAGTAGGATGAGTAATGGGGGAAAGGGACAGAATTTTACAGAAATAAAGTATCGGCTATCACTTTGCCCTGAAATGAACTGAATTGCAGTGGCTCTTGGGCAAATCGAGAAGAAAGGAAGGTAGGACTAATATCATTTCCAAATTCCAAGTCTACTTAAACTACAACAGAAGAACAATTTCGCTTATTGTTTACGATATGTTTGTTATTTGCAGAACGTGACTCCCCTCCCCCCCCCCACCCCCCAATGCACAATGTTTTTGTTAAACTTTCTAATTTCACGACCCACATACACATTTGTCAAATGTCATTATGAATTAATCTATTGTAAGTATAATTTGCCAGTAGGCCTATCATTTGTAAACTTAAAAGTTATATTTTCGAATGGGCGTCTGAATTTTAGATATATTTCTATTGAGGTAATGAAAGGTAAACCAAACAGAATTGATTTTTGTATGAATCTAACTTACTATTAATATTCTTAATCAGGTTTCTTGACTAACAAATTCTTTAAGGTCACCTTTGTTATTCCAATGGCACCAATGCACTGGCTATAAGAAGTTGTACCATGCCCTGTCCCTACACTCGCGGCTATAATACTACCGATTCCCTCCATGAGGATACCCCTATTGACGGCGTGAGAGGGCGGGGATGGCACCTCACATACACTGGCGCATGCGTGGTAGTCCCCTATAGACTCTATGGTGGAAGCTATAGTGGCGGCAATCATGCCGATTACACCACCCACAGTGACGGTTGGTGGGCCATATTTACCTATAAACAGAATTTAAAACACGAGAAAAATACGACCTGTGGAGATTAACAACACTGGACATTAACAACACTGGCAGATCAACGATTTTGCTAAGGATGTGCACTTGGATGAGGAATTTGCTTAGTTTTACTAGCAAACATAAAACAGAAGCCGAGGGTAATTCATTATTTCACAGGGAATGAAAAATTGCTTGGTTTTCTTTTGCTTAATTCGCTATAGTATATGGTGGGAGTACTAGTACAAGTTGTCTACTGTACCTCTTCAATGGATCCGCCATTGCCTAATTATTTGAACGTGGTTATGAAGAAAAATCCCAAAACGAAATGATGGGTCGCATGGTATCTTGTTCAAGTGACATAAAAAATAAACCTTTACCTTGAGACAGAAATTTCTACATTTATTATCAATAAACCAAGTTATCATGTCATTCCGAAATAACCACGTGCAGGGACTCCATCACGACAATACGACTGCAGGCACGTAAAAATGAGCTTTGGAAAAAGACCCAATACCTGGATAAGGTACGAAAAACCATTTTGCGGTGTGAATCCCACCCACGTAAGCGTCCGTCCGTGCCTTGTATTGGGGGTGTCCAGGGTCGTCTGGGAGAGCTCCAGTTAAGGTCAGAATGAGGCTCACTATCCAGGCAATCACTATCATAAATATAGCCTGAAACACGGGGAAATGGTTTTGCGTAAATTTCATTAAGTCTTGTCATTTCGTTATAACAAGCATAACCGTTGTCCTGAGACTAAAACTT